GGATCGCCAGGCACGCCATTGAGCAAAACACGAGAGTAAGCCGAGGACAGCAGGGCCGAAACCCAACCTCTGAAGCGAGGCGGGAAACCAAGGTGTCGAAGTAGATCGAGGAGGAAGTCCCAACGCACCGAGTCAAAGGATTTTTTGATGTCAAGTTTGAAGAGCAACGCCGGGGTTTTCCTACTATGGAAGGGTCTCGCGAGATTGCGCACTTACATGAAGATGTCATGGATGCATCTTTTTTTAATAAATGCACTTTGAGCGTGTGAGAGCCTTTTTCTTATGCATTTCATGTGATCTAGGAAAGGCAATAGAAAATGTTCCACAATCTTAGCATTACATGCATTAACATCTTTTTTGGAATCTGATAAGGCCGAATGTAAGGTACGAGCAAATGGCAAATCGAACGTTTTTTATGGCAAGTTTAGTGACGCGAGGACGGCAACTTCGTGCTTTCAGTTTATTTTTTGACAGAAAAATGTCGTATGTGTCGACTAACTTGCCATCTTCGCGTCACTAGATTTTCCATTGAAAATGTTCGATTTGCCATGTACTCTTACCTGACGTCAGGTACTTATCATTTTCGTTTTTTTACTTATTACATGTAGCATTTCATGCCATGAGATCCTTAAATTATGGGACTATTAAACTACAATACGTGTGAATAAGAAAGAGTAAATTCCGGTTTTTACCCCCTATTTTGATATTTTTGACACTAATTACCCCATTTAGCCATATTTCATCCATTTTACCCAATTTAACAAAAGTTCTGCCACAATTTACCCTGTTTAAAATTTTGTGAGCGTTCTGACCGACATGTCCCAATTGTCAGGTCCACTTGGCATCCCACATCGACCGTTTTTTCCTGCATATTTTCTTCCTGCTGGACCGGTCCTCCCAGCTTCTCCTTGACCGGGAACAGGACCAGCCCGATGGAGGTCGCTCGCGTCGCATCCAACGCACAACGCCCGAGTCGGCCGTGGGCCACGCTTGCCTCCAGTCGGTTCTTGCTTGTGTTGCCTGTCCCCTATCGATTGCATCGCCCGTCTTGTTGGGGAACGTAGCAGAAATTCAAAATTTTCCTACGTGTCACCAAGATCTATCTATGGAGAGACCAGCAACGAGTAGAAAGAGAATGCATCTACATACCCTTGTAGATCGCTAAGCGGAAGCGTTCAAGAGAACAGGGTTGAAGGAGTCGTACTCGTCGTGATCCAAATCACCGGAGATCCTAGTGCCGAACGGACGGCACCTCCGCGTTCAACACACGTACAGCCCGGTGACGTCTCCCATGCCTTGATCCAGCAAGGAGAGAGGGAGAGGTTGAGGAAGACTCCGTCCAGCAGCAGCACAACGGCGTGGTGGTGGTGGAGGAGCGTGGCAATCCTGCAGGGCTTCGCCAAGCACCGCGAGAGAGGAGGAGCACTTGGGAGAGGGAGGGCTGCGCCAGGGGCAAGGGTGAAGCTCCCATGCGCCTCCCCACTATATATAGGGGTGGAGGGGGCTGGTTTCTTGCCCTCCAAGTCCATTGGGGCGTTGGAAAAGGTGGGAGGAAAGAAATCCCATCATTTCCTTCCCCATCGATTGCTATCCCCCCTTTTTAGGGATCTTGATCTTATCTCTTTGGGATATGATCTTATTCCTTCTAAGGGGGGATCTTGGTGCGCCTTGACCAGGGGTGTGGGGCCTTTCCCCCACTACCCACGTTCATGTGGGTCCCCCCATGCAGGTGGGCCCCACTCTGGAACCTTCTAGAACCTTCCCGGTACAATACCGAAAAATCCCGAACATTTTCCAGTGGCCAAAATAGGACTTCCCATATATAAATCTTTACCTCCGGACCATTCCGGAACTCCTCGTGACGTCCGGGATCTCATCCGGGACTCCGAACAACATTCGGTAACCACATACAAACTTCCTTTATAACCCTAGCATCATCGAACCTTAAGTGTGTAGACCCTACGGGTTCGGGAGACATGCAGACATGACCGAGACGTTCTCCGGTCAATAACCAACAGCGGGATCTGGATACCCATGATGGCTCCCACATGTTCCACGATGATCTCATCGGATGAACCACGATGTCAAGGACTTAATCAATCCCGTATACAATTCCCTTTGTCTAGCGGTATTGTACTTGCCCGAGATTCGATCGTCGGTATCCTTATACCTTGTTCAATCTCGTTACCGGCAAGTCTCTTTACTCGTTCCGTAACACATCATCCCGTGATCAACTCCTTGGTCACATTGCGCATATGATGATGTCCTACCGAGTGGGCCCAGAGATACCTCTCCGCTTACACGGAGTGACAAATCCCAGTCTCGATCCGCATAAAACAATAGATACTTTCGGAGATACCTGTAGTGCACCTTTATAGTCACCCAGTTACGTTGTGACGTTTGATTCACCCAAAGCACTCCTACGGTATCCAGGAGTTACACGCTCTCATGGTCAAAGGAAGAGATACTTGACATTGGCAAAGCTCTAGCAAACGAACTACACGATCTTTGTGCTATGCTCAGGATTGGGTCTTGTCCATCACATCATTCTCCTAATGATGTGATCCCGTTATCAACGACATCCAATGTCCATAGCCAGGAAACCATGACTATCTGTTGATCACAACGAGCTAGTCAACTAGAGGCTCACTAGGGACATATTGTGGTCTATGTATTCATAAGTGTATTAGGATTTCCGGATAATACAGTTATAGCATGAATAAAAGACAATTATCATGAACAAGGAAATATAATAATAACACTTTTATTATTGCCTCTAGGGCATATTTCCAACAGTCTCCCACTTGCACTAGAGTCAATAATCTAGTTCACATCGCCATGTGATTAACACTCACAGGTCACATCGCCATGTGACTAATACCCAAGAGTTTACTAGAGTCAGTAGTCTAGTTCACATCACTATGTGATTAACACTCAATGAGTTTTTATGTTTGATCATGTTGCTTGTGAGAGAGGTTTTAGTCAACGGGTCTGAACCTTTCAGATCCGTGTGTGCTTTACAAATCTCTATGTCATCTCCTAGATGCAGCTACCACGCTCTATTTGGAGCTATTCCAAATAACTGTTCTACTTGGAGCTATTCTAAATTGTTGCTCCATTATATGTATCCGGTCTCTCTACTCAGAGCTATCCGGATAGGTGTTTAGCTTGTATCGACGTAACCCTTTACGACGAACTCTTTTACCACCTCCATAACCGAGAAAAATTCCTTAGTCCGCTAGTTACTAAGGATAACTTTGACCGCTGTCCTATGATCCATTTTTGGATCACTCTTGTACCCCTTGACTGACTCATGGCAAGGCACACTTCAGG